AGCCAAAAAATGCTGCTAAACCATAGGAGTATACTTAATAAACAAGAAAGCAGGTAATGCAAATTTGCGGTAGTCGGTAGTACAACGCGACTTTTACGCTCAGCCGGTGTTCTGCTGGCCTTTTGCGCCATTTTGAGTCGGCACCGTGCTGAGTTCTGGAGTTCCGTGGAGCCTCTGTATCCTGCGCACTGTCGTTAACGCCGGCTCCCTATTGTCGCTAGATACCATAGACTACAGAGGATGGCACCCTACAGTATCGGAGGAGGTAATTTTTTAGAGAGGGCGAAAATGAATGCGCGCGCAGATGTCATCCATAGAATTAAATCAATGGCCTTACAGATATCACTGAAGTGTCCCAAGGCGATCGCCCGAGTCCCGTCAAATGTGTAGGGGGAGATTTTTGGCAAAAAACACACTCGACTAGATTTTAGAATTTGGATGACCTTCTGGCGATCAACAAATACGGACTAAGCTCGTCGAATTTTTGACACCGGCATTCAATAACCGTATTTCGTACTTTTAGAATTCAAGTTGGCGTTTGACATGTTTGACGCTGATGGAGGCGGTGACATCAGCACCAGGGAACTGGGGACCATCATGAGCCGGCTGGGTATGAACCCCTCCCGGGCAGAACTCAACGACATCGTTCACGAGGTAGACGCCGACGGTACGATGAATATTCAACATGACTGTACCATGTTGTCTTGACGCAAACAAACAAACAAACAAACAAACAAACAAACAAACAAACAGGCATGATATCTTGAACTTGAAAGGCCGATATTTGCTTGCCAGCAAATACAGCATTTGTATTCCATTTCCACCCTATACAAAACAGACTAGTACAAACTTAAGATCTGATTATTTATCCCAATTATTTAGCACCGTAATGTATTTTAATGTGAAAAACGTGCTGAAACTTACCCCTGTGAAAATGCGAACATTCCAAAATAACCAGTGCAAAAACACCACCGCACAAAATAACTTTTTGTAACCACCCAGTCCACAATTGAATTAAAAAAACCTCCTCTTCAAGAATTGACTTTTCCAGCGACCCCCACGTAACGGTATAAGCCAGAAACACACAAAAATGGACTACCTCTGTCCAAAATTGAATTTGAAAAATTGACTATTCCATTGGTCCCCATGTAATCTTAAGAGCCAGTCTACCCCAAATATGGACTTTTCATAATTACGCCAATCCAAAGTTGAATGTTTTTAAGTGCCGCCCCATTCACCAAAATTTAATTTACAAAGTTGTGTAGGGAAACGGCCAAGTGTTTCTTTCGGGGCCATTGCATTAAATTTTCAAGCTGGAAAAATAAGCAACATTTGTCTAAAGAAAAGAAATTAATCGATGAAATAAAAACTCTTCAAATC